CCCCACTTGGCCTCTTTTGGGATTCACCCTTCCTGCTCCTCCTCGATGATGGCCCCAGCACGAGCTGCTGTGGTGACTTCATGGCAGAAGGGGGATGAGTGCTCTGGCCCCAGGGTGGCTCCAGAGGGGCGAGCAGGGCTGTGGGCAGGGCTGTGGGCAGGGCAGCCCCTGGGCATGCCCACGAGGAGTGCTGGTGCTGGGTGTCCCGGGGCCCTCGGGGCGATGTGTGGCAGTGCTGCTGGAGGCAGCCACAGCTCCCAGAATCCTCATGCTGCTCTGCCTGGGAGAGACCTTCCAGCTCCTCGAGCCCACCCCTGCCCCCAGCACGGCCAGGTCCCCACTGCCCCGTGTCCCTCACCCCACATCTCCACGGCTTGGGAACCCCTCCAGGGGTGAGGACTCCACCACTGCCCTGGGCAGCCTGGCACAGCCCTGGGCAACCCTCTAGGGCAAGAAATTGTTCCTTGGGTGCAACCTCAACCTCTTCTGGTGCAACTTGAGGCTGGTTCCACTTCTCCTGTCACTTGTCAGGACGAAGCGTGCGTGAGACAACACAAAATTTCCCATCCCATAAGCAAGATCCCCAAGACAAAGAATAACACTTCACTTCTCCCATTTGCACACCAAATGACTCATTCTCTGTAAAGACTTCTCAAAATTTCCCAACTCTCTGTCTGTCAAGAGATGAGAAGGAAATTTACTGCAAGAAAGTCTGCAAGAAGCTTCCTGTAGATTAAGAGCAGGGCCTGCCTCGTTCGGGCAAAGCACCGACCTGGCCAGCAAACCACGGGAGGAAAAACACTCCAGAGCTGACTCAAACCACCTTCAAGGCCTTGCTGAGGGCCTGCAGACACCCCACACCATCAGCAGGCCCCCAAACCAGGCACGGGTCAGAGCTGGAGAGAGCTTTGCCATGGACCTGGCCTTGCACCACAGCCTCCCCTGTCACCGGGCTCTCAGGGGCGAGGAGCTGGTGAGTCTCCACCCCCCCACCCAGCACTTGGCAGCTCCCAGCTCCCCACGCTGGGCTGGGAACAGGGCTGGCTCCGGCCAGGGCTCTGTGCCAAGCCCATCAGATTCAGTGGGTCACCAGGAAGCTCCCTGCTTCTTCCCCAAAACACCAGCTCTCACCAGCATTCGGCTGGAGGAGAGACTTGGAGCGTGGTCCTGAGCGGATGGTGGGTCAGACACTCTCCTCTGAGAAGGGCTGATGAAGAAGAGGGCTGAAGATGAGCTCCAGTGAGAAGGGGAGTCACCATGGGGATCAGCAGCCTCCTCAGGAGAGGCTCTGAGCAGTTAATGAGGTTACTGGTGTGGGAGCAGCTTCTCAAGCCTGGGTGAGGCAGCTGGGGAACGGGCACCTCACCTTCTCCAAACCCACCCAGCGCAGCCCCCGGCGCTGCCAGGCAGGGCAGGGTCACAGAGAGCAGTGGCTCGGGGGGGGGCGGGCCCCAGCCCAACAAGGCACAGCCTCATTGCCTCCAGACCCATCCTGGCAGCTCCCACAGCCCAGCTCCTCCCAGAGGAAGGTGATGTTCCCCAGTGCCTGGCACACCTCAGACTGAAGCTCCACGGCTTGCCCCTGCTGCTGGCACCAGCCTTCCTCACAGGGAGCCACCCAGGGGTGCTCAGCTGAGCAACTTCCCCATTCCTCACCACCCAGACGAAGGGACCCAGCCTTCCCCCTTCCCAGCTCAGAAATCCAGCTCCTGACCAGTGCCATCCCCAGGAAGCCAGGCAGGCACAGCCTCGGAGTCACAGAACCATCGTGGCTGGAAGAAATCCTTCAGCTTGAGTCCAGCCATGACCCGTGTCCCTCACCCCACATCTCCACGGCTTGGGAACCCCTCCAGGGGTGGGGACTCCACCACTGCCCTGGGTAGCCTGGCACAGCCCTGGGCAACCCTCCAGGGCAAGAAATTGTTCCTCAGGGGCAACTGAAACCTCCTCTGGGCAACTTGAGGCCAGTTCCTCTTTTCCTGTCCCTTGGGAGCAGAGCCCGACCCCCCCCCTGGCTCCAGGCTCCTGTCAGGAGGTGTCAGAGCCAGAAGGTCTCCCCTGAGCCTCCTTTGCTCCAGGCTCAGCACCCCCAGCTCCCTCAGCTGCTCCTCCCCACACTTGGGCTCTAGACCCTTCCCCAGCTCCATTCCCCTTCTCTGGACACACCCCAGCTCCTCAAGGTCCTTTGCAGAGTGAGGGGCCCAAAACTGACCCTGGGATTCAAGGTATGTCCTCCCCAGTGCCATGTCTAGGGGACCCAGTACCCCCAGGTTTCTTTTCCCATTTCTCTGACGTGGAGGAGGCCAGGAGGCAGCTGGCATTGTCTCAGAAACCTCTTTCACCAGTTTAAGGAATTGAACCCTGCAGCTGCACACTGACAGGCTCTGCCCTGGCAGACACACGGTGCCCTCCACCACCAGGGCATCAACTCCTCACAAACCAACACTTTGGAAACACCCTGGAAGGAGACACCAAATGTGACCATCTCAGAAGGTTAAAACTAAATAATACTGAGAAGCAAACAAGAACTGACTCAATGGGGAAAGACACTAGTCTGCTGAAAACAGAACACTGTGGATGCTCACGAAGCTAAACCCCTTTCAGATCTCTGGAGCAGGTGACTGTGCTCAGCTTCTACACCAGCAGTGTGAGACCTGATCTAGGTCAAGGCCTCCTCAGGTTTCCCTTCCCCAAACCATCAGCAAAACCACCCTGAGAAGACCAGAGGTGGGTGCTGCTGTCAGAGCACGCCAGGGCTGGGCTTCGCAGCGTGACCTTTCTGAGCAGCATCTCGGTGCTGATCCTTATCTGCTGCTTCTGCAGACCCACATCTTCTTCTGGCTTGCTTCAAACTGCTGACGAGGGAGTTCAAGGCTCTGAGAGCAGCTTTGGTTTCATGAGCTCCGAGGAACATTAAGGAGGCCCCGAGGACTCTGCAGACCACACGCTGAAAGCCACCGACCTGAGATGATGCCCTGGAGATGTCAGTGAAGAGTTCTCCCAAAGTGCAGCCCAGCCCAAGGGCAGCCTGGAGCACGGGTGCTCGGGAGGCCCCTCGATGATGTTCTGCTCTGCAGCTCCCATTTTGGAGGCATGGGTCTGAACCCCAGTAAAAGGAAAGGCTCCCCCTGCCCTGGGTTGTGTCCCAGTGCTCAGACTGGACTGGAAAGGACAGCAATGGGTGCAGAAAAAGCCACCACAACACACCAGGCACCAGCATCTCAAGGACAAGAGGAAACAGCCTCACGTTGCACCAGGGGAAGTTTAGGTTGGACCTGAGAGAGTCTTCTCTCTACAGCTCCCTGACAGGAGGCCGGAGTGAGGTGAGGGTTGGTCTCTTCTCCCAAGTAACC